TTTGTCCTAACACTAATTTATTTATTTATTTATTCAATGTCTAAAGAGAATCACATAATATACTGATTCTCATTCTAAGACTATATAATGTCAAATTATAATATGTCAAACAGAAACACTAATATTAAATATAATTATGACATAACTGAATGACATACAATCAGTACAATACTGAGACTGAAACAATAAACATAATTGAGAATAATAAAAACGGGATTATTACGAGTATTTGATAGCAAATATCACATTTTGTAAACAATAAGTTGTTGTAGGAGAGAGAAATAAAATTACTTCAATATTTTTGAGTTTTTTTGAGTAAAACTTAAAATAAAATTTCTCAAATTAATAAAAATATTTTTTTTTTGTGGTAATCTTTGATATTTTTTTTTATTTTTGTTTTTTTATGGATAACATTATCATTTTTTTTTATACAATTTTTAACTCAATTTTTCATCATTTTTTAATGTTTTTTTATAATTTTTTGTTTTTTTTTTTTTTATTTACATAATACAAAACATGTCATTTTTTTTTAATTTTCATATTTATTATAAATTAATTTGTTTTTATTTCTTTTTTTTCAATTTTTTTTATTTTTTTGCTTTGATTAGGTACTAAAATTCCTGATTAATCTTTTGTTTTTCTCTTTATTTTTTTCATTTTTACAATTTTTATGATTAAAATAAATTTTTCATAAATTTAATTATTAAAGTTTTTCGTAAGATTTTATTTTCTAAATAATTTTCTAATAAAAACAAAATTAAATTAAATTGTTGTTGAACAATTTTTAAATAAAAACAATTGCTTTGAATTTGTCTTCTTTTAATTTTGATTCAATCTCAAATCTTAATTAATATTTTTTCGTTTTTTTTTTTGGTTTCACTTTAATTTTAAATTTGAATTTAAATATAAATATATATAGGAATTAATTGATATTTTTGATAATTAATTAATTATTAATTGATAAAATTAGTCAACTAATTTAATAACTAATGATATAGAAAATCTTATTCGTAATAAATTTTTTTTTAATAATAATTTTTTTTTGTAAAATATGAAGTCAAATGTTTTCAGTCATTAAAAAATTTTCAATGATATTATAAAATCTATATAATTTAAATGTTTTTTTTTACATAAAAATATTAAAAAAGAAATTAAAATTTAGAAAAATACATATTAGAAAAACTTTAGTCAAATAGAACTATTAATTTTTGAAATAATTGGTACAAAATACAATAATAATGAAAACTATTATTATTTGATAATAGTTTTCTAAGCTATTATTATTTAATTTGAAACAGAAATGGGTGACCTGGGAAATATTTAAGTATATTGTAGAATTTTTTATGTCAAAAAGAAAAAAATTGATTTGTCTTATATCCAAATTCCTTATAATTTAGTAATTTTTGAGTGGAAACACAAGAAGAAAATGTCAGGATAAATTTTTAACTCAAATTATTCAATTATATTTTTCTTATTAGGAAAAAACTATTTGTAACTAACCACTTTTAAGTGAAATTTTCTGACACTTTAGGAATATTATAAAATTTTGCATACCTTCAAGGCGTGGGAAAATTTATTTAACAATAGTTTACTTAAAATATAAACAAGTAGCAGTTTTTTTTTGTTCTAGTCAATAAAAAAATTTGTTATTAAAAAAAATTTTAACAATATTTTAATTTTCAATTTTATAGGCCTGTAGAAATTTAATAAATTTATTAAACAAAATTTTATTTGAAATTATTTTAGAACCGTTATGTTTTCAGGACTCTGAATAACAATGTAATGGCAGATTTTTGAGAATTTTTCAGTTGTTTAACGGTATAAGAAAATTTTTTTTTCTCTCGTTTTGTTTTCCTTATTTATTATTTTTTAAAATATCAAATTTAATATTTGTTTTTTTTTTCTGTGTGTACTTGACATTCTTGATATTACTACAATAAATAACTGTAATTTTTTGAAATTCAAATACGTTTGTGTATTTTTAACAGAAATTTATTTTTTTGAAATTTTTTACTGGATTCCATGTAGTTTTAAGCTCTGTTCTGTTTTTTTTTTTTTAAATATTTTTAAAGCTTAAATTTTATTCTTAAATATAATACAAATTGTTCACGTTCCTTTGGACATAATAGATTATTTTTTGTTTTAATTTTTTAGAATGGATTTATAAATTTCATGATTTTTGTAAAATTTGAATTTGTAAAAATTTTCTTAATTATCAAACAAAAAATTTGATTTGATAACTATTTAAACCTTTTATAAAACTTTGAAACATTTTAGAATACTGTAAATCTTTTATTTTTTGCCATTTCTTCTTAATTTTAAATTTAACTGATTTATTATGTAATTCTATACGAAAATAATGGTATGTTATCTAATTAAACATTGTACACTCTATACGAGCAGACCTTGCTCTTCAGAGAAATAAATAAATAAATAAATAAATAAAAAATAAATAAACTATAACTGAAGCTAGGAAATCATCATTTTAAGTTTTCATTCAGAAAAATTATAGTGTTATTGATCTGAGTGGGATTCCAATGGATTTGAGAATGAAATGATAGATTTCACCTGATTGCACTCATCAGCCTTACTTCTTTTCTATTGAAAGCAATGGAAAAAGTGATTGATAGATTTATACGGGACGATGCACTGGGAAGCAATCCCTTGCATAAATCTCAGTACGTCATCAGTCGGGAAGAAACTCACTGGAGGTGCGGGAGGTGGCAGTTGGTTGCTTCCTTGATATAGAGGGAGCTTTTGATAACACTCCATATCATGTCTTCTGTGAGTCGTTGCACAAATGAGGGATGGATGCGACAACGAGCAGATGGGTTAATCGGATGCTTAAGGATAGGATTATTAAGTCCACCATAGCTAAAGATACACTCTTCATCTCCGCTGCAAAAGGGTTTCCGCAGGGCGGGGTTCTTTTGCCCCTCCTGTGGTTCATTGTAGTGGATGATCTAATCGCTGCTCTCGGAGGCTCCGAGGCACGTGTCAGGGGTTACGCTGACGATGTGGCCTTCGTTGTAGGGCGAAAATTTGAGAGCACTATTTCTGATCTTCTACAGCAAAATTTACGTGTCGTGGAAAGGTGGTGCGAAGACGTTAGGTTAAATATAAATCCAAGCAAAGTACTTTGGTCGCCTTCACCAGACGCAGAAGCAGAGATAGATTAACGAGCCCAATCCTGTTTGGTGAACGTATTAGTTGCTCTAGAGAGGTGAAGTATCTGAGGGTAACCCTGGATAATTGTCTCTCCCGTAATGCCCATATAGATAGAGTTATCGTGAGGGCTACGGCGGCCTTGTGGACGTGTAGGGGCTTCTTCGGTAGGACCTGGGGGTCAGTCGCAGGACAACACTGTGGCTATATACGGCCCTTGTTTGCCGTAAGGCTCATCAAGTGGGTGTGCGGGCCAAGCTGGCAAAGCTACAGAGGCTGGCCTGCCTGGGAGTGACCGGGGCAATGCGGACGACTCATACCGCTGCATTGGAGGTGATGATCGGGTTGCCGCCTCTGCACCTCTATATATTGAAGGAAGCTCGGCTAATGACTTACTGACTTCTCTCTGACGAGGACAGGGCGGGGCTAAAGTTGGCCCACGGGACTCACAGAGACTTCATTGAGAGCGATCCGATTTCAAGAATAACCATGTCGGATGCCTGTCTGCCGCGGTACAACTTCGACGCAAGTACAGGGTTCTGTTGTCCAATCGATGGACATGGGATCGGGGTGGCCCGCTACTTGAGTCGGGTTCGAGCGTGTGGTATGCAGACGGGTTCAAGACGCAGTCTGGTGTGGGTTCGAGTGTATACGGCGTCAGCCGGAGACGCGTATATATGCAACCCTTGACCCGTATTGCACAGTGTTCCAAGCCGAAATACATACAATAGAGACCTGTTCTGAGAATCAATTTATAAAGGGGGTATAAAAACCGCACCATCTATCGTGTTCTCGGTCACCAGGGCTGCACTGTCGGCGCTTCATTCAGCTCAGGTTACATCCAAGCTGGTCTGGGGCTGCCTTGCTGCCTTGTGGAATTGGCATCGGAGAACAGTGTCACACTCATTTAGGTGCCGGGCCACAGTGGCCATGCGGATAACGAAATTGCCGATTGGCCCTTCTTCCGCCGTTGGGGCCAGGTTTGCCTGACTGCTCGCGGCAGAATGCAGTCTTCACTGGCGGGACACGAAAGGGTGCCGTTATGCGAAGATGTTTCTTTCAGCGTGCTCCAGCAGATTCACCGCAGAGTTGCTGGGGATGAGCGGGAGCCAGGTTCGCACTATTGCGAATTTCTTCACGGGGCACTGCCCAGTGAAGTACCACCTGCATAGGCTGGGGAAGTCTGGCTGCCCCCTGTGCAGATTTTCTGGGGGCGGTGATGAGACCGCCATGCACATTCTCTGCGACTGTCCGGCAATAGCTGTTCGGCGCCGCAAATGTCACATAATTGCTTTAGTTTTATTTAAAGCTAGAATGTTGAATTATAACTGGAATTGATTAAATAAACTCATTTAATTACTACATTTAGGTGAATATTTTAATTTTAGAAATTCACCACTATATAAGTTTCTAATCGGAACAGTAATATAGAAAAAAATTCTTTAAGTGTGTGTATTATTCGCGGTCAAATTCAAATTTTATAGACAGAAAAAAAAACAGAAAAAATTTAAATCCATCCTAAAAGTATGCTTATAATTCCTAAATATTTTTTTAATTCAGTACATACTAAATCTAAAAATTAATTTTTTTTTTGTTTTTTTTTGTTTTATATTTTTATGATAATAAATATTTAATTTTTATTTTATCGATTACTCTCTCATATGTAATTTGCATGATTTTTTTTTACTCTCAAATTTTTAATTTAGTTTTTAACTTATTAATATTTTTTTTGGTAATTATAGATTTTATTTGCAATATTAATTAGTATTTACCTCATATCGTATTTATTTATTTTTTTATTTTTTTCTACTTTTTGTTTTTTGTTCATTATTTCACAATATTTTCTAATTTTTAATATTTACAACTTTTATTTTCATTATTCAAAAATATATTTATATTTTTTTAATTTATTTTTTTTATTATATTTAATTATTTATAATCTAGATTTTATAAAAACTAAAAAAATATAAAAAAAAACTTAAAAAAAAAGTCGGAATTTTTATTTTTTTTTTTTTTTGGTTCAAAATTCTAATATCATAATAAATTTCATTTGAAATATTAATGAAATAAAATTGGTTTTTGCTTTTTTGTGGAAATTTATAAAACTATGCATTTCACACCATATTATCTTTTAAGGGACAGTATGGGTATATAATGGGTCGGTATGTGTTTTTTCACTGTGTGAGATAAAAATATTTAAAAACATTCTGTACCTATACAGGTTTGTGGTTGTGAATATTATAGTAGAAAACCAGAATAGTAAAAATTATTGTTTGTTCAAAATCAACTGTTATATAGTATGTATATAAATTTAATAACTGATTTGCGCTAAGAAACAATTAAAGTTGTGGTTAAACAAATTATGTTTAGCATAAAGGTGTAAATTGTTTGAATCTGAAACATATAATTGAAATATGATTTCAGTATTTTTTAGAGAATCATATTCAAGAACGAAAACTGTAATTAAATTTGGAACGATAAAGTGATTGTTACATGCGATTGTTACTCAGCGGCTACTCAACAATTGATAGCTACAACTGATACCAAACAGATTTTTATTTGTTAATTCGTAATTAATATTGTGACCTCGGATCAGAAGACAATGATAATGAGTCCATACAATTTTAATTCTTTAAAAACTATAATTTTTAGAAAATTAAATTAAAATTTACAATATTTTCTTTAAAAAAGGTATAAGGGCGTTAATGGTTTAATTAAAAATTTTTTTTACATTTTAACTAATATTTTTTTTCATTATAATAAACGTCATTATTATTTAATAATTAATTTCAATAAATTTTTTTATTCCTTTTTAACATAATGCACTAGTATACATTATTAATTAATTTTTAATTTTATATAAATATATTTTTCTTGTGTGTGTGTGTGATTTTTTTAAATTATGATTTAATTTTATTTTTATTTTAATTATTATTATAATTATTATTTATATAATATTATATAAAAATTATCCTACAGTAATAAATGATAATTAATTTCAAAATATAATGTACCTAGTGTTGTTAATAAATTTATAATAATAAATTGTCCTGTATCAATTTTCACTAAATCCGATGACGTTGATTTATTTTGATTTTCGGTTAATGAATCTGCTTCCCGTTGTATTGAATTTTTTGATGGATGATAATCACTTCGATGATTATTATTATCTGGATCTGTAAATACAAATAAGAGAGAGAATTTTTATATATAATTGAATTGGAAATAAATTGGACGTCCATGTACATAAAATGTAGGTAATTATTAAATGTCATGTGTATGTTTGGGCAGGTGTATATTATTTATACTACAATATACATGTAAATGTCATAGATCAAATGGAATATGGTGTGGCTGTCGAGGCTGTTTATTTGAGTACTCATTGTAACAAAGTGTAACGGGATCTATTTTTTATTTGTTGTTTTTTTTTTTAAAATAGCAAAAGATTACTTTTTGCTTGCAAAGACATAAGAAAAGATATATTTGGGGGAAAGCCTGAATTATGAAGACACTTCAGTAAAACTTGGGAGAGTGTGATATTCTCGTTCATAGGAGAAGAGAAATACTGGCGGATTTGAGATTGTTCTGTGAGTGCTTCTCCTCCCACTTAGAATTGCGCTCAATAAATTGTTATACGCGGTTGCGGTGCTCTGTTGCTTAGATTGAACAAATCTATTAGAAAAATCTACAACCCTGGATGATCGCCTTTGTCTATATGAGTATTTGATCGATGATTCAAATATTCATATAGACAAAGCCATCACCTACCACAGCCTTATGAACGTGTAGGAGTTTTGTTCAAAGGGTTTGGGGGATCTATAATTGTAATTGGAAAAGGATTTATAGATTTTGATTTGTGCATGAATTTCGTTCAATATGTGACAAATAAATTTGTTGAATTTAATCGTAATTTTAAAGAAAACACTGATTATTCATTAACACTTTCTCAAAGGGATTACTATAAGACAAAATCTCAGTGCGGCGATGGAAGTATAATAAAAATTTGATCGTAAATGACATGATATGCCTGACCTAAATATTTTGAATAAAATGAAAAAGTTTTTCATATTAAAAATAGAAAAAAAATTTTCTAAATCGGAAATTTAGGTTTTCAAATTTGTTTTTTTGTGATTTTTGTTGGCGAATGAAACACATATGAAAAAAAAAAATTGCTTTTTTTTAACAATCTTTCATTGCGACATGAACCTGATAAATTGTTTTGTGTCAAAGTTCGTTATCATTTAAATTGAAAACTTACTATCTATCTATGTAAAGCACAGTGATAATATGAACAGTTAAAAGATTTAAATTGCCAATACATCAACATAGAATTTATTTTTTTTTACGGTATAAATAATCCTAACATGTTCGTACAATATAAAACATGACGTACGGGTACATTTGTATAAGTGTATAAGGTTGTGTAGCTCTGTATGTTATAAGGATAAGTTTTTTGTGTGTGACTCCTGTAGTGTAGAGATAAGCATTTTCTATACTGATATGCAATTTTGTACATAATTTTTTTGTTTTGTATGTATATGACGATATTGGAGTGATGGTAACTAAAAAAAGCCGACTTAAAAAATATGACAAAACTTTCAAAGTAACAAAAAAAGATTTTAAAGTTTTTTTCGTTCTTCTGTTATCTTTTTGCAGTGTCAAAATTTTTTTATTTTTTGTCCTTTTCCCTCATATGTAAGAATAAATGACATTTTGAATAATAACATGTTGTTTGTATAGAAAAATTCTATATACTCCTACATACATATATATATAAAAGGCAAAAAGTCCTACTTTGAAAAGTAAAAGTTTCTATTTTGTCATCGGAAATTGAAAAACGAGAAAAACAAAAATAGAAAAAGAAAATTGAAAAATAGAAAAAGAAAAAAGACAAATTTATTTTTTCCACTGCTTTTCGCTTGCATAGCGCTTTTCATTTCTATACTCAATATAATGAACGCAATTTTCATTACAGTGTACACACGGCAAGAAATTTTAGAGCGTATTATGAATTTGCCCTTCGCATTTTTTGGATGGTTTTAATGATTGACATACAAAGATTTAGATGGAATCTTCCTACAAAGCCTAGTGTTGACTAAAATTTTTGGAAAATTCAATTTTGAAATTGCTTTGGGAATTTTTTAACGTACAATATTAAATTTTACTCATTCATTCTTGAAAATTTCTAAAAAGCATTATTTTTTGAAGTAAGGACGATCAATAAGAAGGGCATAGACCTGGGAGTAAATTCGAAGACTGAAAAATTGAGAAGTAGTTTCTCCGAATGGGTATCAGGGTAAGCAGAGAAACATTCCGATAAATCTCCGAGGGCGACTTGCCGATATATCTCCGAGGGCAACATTGTATTATTTTGGCCACCCAATACCAGAGGAAATTATTACAAATATGTAGAGTTGAGTATTTGACATTTGTCAGACTAGTATCCCATAGTTGTTTAAATCATGAAAATTTTCTTGTATTTTTTTTAATAAACTTTGCTCTGGACATTGTATAATTCGATCTTTGATTTTAAATTTGTTTTTTGTATTCATATTTACATTTTACACCTATAACTCAAAATTGGCACCCAAGTTCTCAGATTTTATATTAAAATTATAATGCTTCGCAAGAGTTTTAAAATAAGTGAATGTTCTAAGATTATAAGTTCCTAAGTTATGGAATATGCAATACCAGAAATTTTAGAGGTTAAATCGAAATCGGTTTGAAGATCATTAGATTTTTCACAATTTTGGAATCTTGGATATTTTTGTCTGTAATCCAAAAAAAATCCATGGTTCAATTCGGCGAATCCTAAAGTCATAATTTTAAAGTTTTCTTGGGGAATCTAAATAAGGTTTTCTGATGGCATAAAATGAAATTGATAAACTAAGTCTCAACCTTGAAAACCTTACAACCTTAAAAACTAGGTGTTTTTTTTCATTGTTCAAAAAAAAAGCTATAATCTCGAGCTAAAAGAAATCTTTAATCCACACTTACTCTTGACCGTGCAATCATGCCATTATCAAATTGAATTTCGGATTTTTACAGTAACATTTGTATTTAATATAAAACGATGACATTTTCCATCATTTGTAGAGCCTCTATTGTGTGTTTCAAAAGAAAACAAAACAAGAAAAATTAAAAGAAAAAAAGCGAAAAGTTTTTAATCTCGTTGATAAATCATTACTACTTTTCTTGTTTCCAAATGTTTCAATTTTCCATATACAAATATGCATACGTACATATCGCAATCACGGACAGATACACAAAATATTTTGAGTTCAAAACTTTTACTGAATATTTTTGTTAAAAGTACAGTGACAGACATTCTAATATTGAGCTGAAGGCAGTACAATAAAAAAAAATATAAACCAGCATTTTATGATTCTTCTGGTGATGAGACTTTCATCTTTTTTTTCTCGTTCTTCGTTTGCTGCATTGTCATGCTGTATGAGAAATCCAAATGGGTAGACTTAAAGTTTTACAATATTAATTTATTTTTTTTTCTCTTCTTTTTTAAATCAGATTTTGTTTAAATTTTTCAATAGACATTAAAATTACATTATTTTCAGTATTAAGAACATTATTGGTTACTGTAAGTAGGCGCTCATAAATGAAATGTTGAATTTTGTTATACAATATGAGGAATCTATACAAGACATATACAAGAGAGATTCAATGTTAATTTTTAAATGCAAATGTATAAAGGCTTTGTACACTATTTCAATTATTTACCAATGAAATGATTTAAGAAAATGATTTTCCCCCCAATCTATTATCCAAGAGTCTTTAGGCAATGCAATCTCTTTGACATTGTTACATTAATTTAATGAAGCACTTAATGCAGTAATAAGTAAAGTACCTTTGGTAATTAAATTGTATTGAATTTGTATTAAAAAGGAAAATGATTTTTCATGTACCTGTATGTAAGTACAGTTATTCTTAAGTATTCAGGTATCCGTATTAAAATTCAATTGAATAAACACAACAGTATATGGACATGGAGTTGTTTTCAAATTGACATTATAGAGATTAGATTAAAGATTTTGATACAATAAGGAGAATGAGAGTAAGGAAATTTCTATTTCGAAATAATTCCATCAAATTTTCAATATTCTGTGAATAATTTACATAAACATTATTACAGGCGTTGAAGATTCGTTAAGATTTTCCATTAATAAATTAATTTTTGTCCAGGAACGCATATTGGACAAAATAACTAAAAGAAAAAATTTTTATCTATGACTATAAAAAGGAAAGTAGAAAACGGAATTAACTTGATCATAGTTTTTTGCCAATAATTTTGTCATCCGCTTTCTGTTTCCTTATTTGTTGCTTCTACACATTTATCGTTCTCGTTTGTGAACTTCTCCACATTTATTGGGACTGTAACAGTCAATCAACTCCCCTCATTTTCAAATAGTTTATAAATGGTTTTTGACCAAATTTCGGTGAACAAAGTTCCCTTTAATTGTGAAAGTTTATTGAAAGCTTTCAATTTCCTCATTAACTTACTGATGTTGATTATCGTCTGATGGATAAGGAAGGAATGAACCTTAGAAAGTATGATTTTATGTTGCGCAGTGTTGTGAAAATCCAGTGATTTTGCTCTTCCTTTTCTTACCTCGTCCAATTTAATCATATGATGCTTTTCGTCACTGATTGTAACTTGTGTTTCACCTTTCTCCGCCTTGGTACTGTTTTCTCTTTAATACAATACTGAATGTTTCATCTAACCAACTAACTGATAGTATTTTATAACGGAATAACCCGTTCATAAATCAACAATGAATTCAAATTGGGAGTCTTTTCTACCAAATCTTTTCTATGGTATCAAGATGGCATATTATAGTTATGAATAAAGCATATTTAATAGCTAAAAATTTCATGAGTCAGACCATTTAGTCAATATTTTTTTGTACATAATTATTGTTATAAAAAGTTTATTTGTTTGAATAGTAAACACTTTTTCATGTTCAGTTTATTTTGGCGTAGTGATTAATAGCAATGTTAAAATATTGAAGATGAAGATTCTTTGCCTTTTTTTTTTCAAAAAAAAATTTTATTTTTATGTAATTACCAAGAATAAAGAAAAGTTTTATTTTATGATCCTTAAACAATATTAAATTTAGAAGTGCTTCTATACATTATTTCAATATTTCACAAGCAGAAATTGAGTTTTTATATTTCGTCTTAAAAAAGAAAAAAATTTAATGTTATATTTACAACACAACCCTTACTATAATCTATTATTTAAAACTTCCACATGCCATAAAGCTATTCATGCTGTAATAAAAAATAAACAAAAAATTGTTCATTGCTTCATGTATTCTTTTATTCTAAAACAATAATTTGTTTGTACTCTATTTGATGTTATTTTGTTATCCTTAATCAGGGGAAGGATATGTGACTTTATCTATAATAAAGACATAATAAAAGAAAATTGTCCGAAGTATTCGTGTATGGACATTTGGGACTCGATACCATATTTACCCAAGTTTAAGGCAGAAATGTATAAAGTTAATATACAAATCTTGAATTCTTTGAAAATACCCAATTTCTGTGCTAATACTTTCCCCATTCTTATTGAATATATAAAAACAGGATTCGTATCCTATAGACAAGGTAGATTATTAAAATATTTCAGCTTTATGAAACGAAACTGACCATAAATTTTAATTCGGTATTTTTTCAAATAAAACTCATGCGTAGCGATTTCGTTAATAATATTCGCAGGACTAGTACGAAGTAACTCTAATTACAGACACTCCCGAACTATTATAATAGACAAATGATCTTAACTTATCACTCAATTTTAATACTATGCCGCTCTTATTGAAACTGTACACTGAACTTATAAAAATTCCTCAAATATCAATTTTAAATTTTATAGAAATTAAGTGATTATTAAAATCTATTAATAGTAATTTATCTTAGCTCATATTAAAGGGTATTTATTAAAAAAAAAAGTTTTCCAAGACAAAATTGAAACTTTTGAAAATTTAGTAATAAAATAGAAGTTCTTTCAAGTAAAGAAAATTATAAATTAAATATAAGAGTACATACATGTGTTCTAATGTATTTGCTCTACGTACAAATATATTATATTCTCCACATATACATACACACATAGTTATATAAACTCATAATGAAAAAATTAAAAGCAAAGAATATCAAGTTTAAAGAAGAGCTTGTTTCCTCATCACCAACAATTTCTAAGAAAAATATGAAAATATCGATTGCATTTTCGAAAAATATAAAATAGAAAATTATTTTTATCTTCAAATAAATTTTGCTGTATTATATTTTTGTTCTTAATACAATATTACCATTGCTTTTCATTTTAATAGTTTGTTAACAAGAAGAGGAATCATAAATAAAAATGAAGAGAAAGTATAAACAGGACATATTTTTCATAATGTATATTCAATTAATCAGGGGTGTAATCGAAGGGTTGATATTAAAAAACTTTAATCGAAAGCACGTGCCGAGGTATGCAGCAGTTTCTCATGAATTGCCTCTACATCCGGGCTATCTAGTCTGTTCACACTAGCACAAAACTGCCTAAATTTGGCGAAAAGGCCGAAATGGTGGGTAGTAAGATCCACCAAGCAAAAACAAAGTCACTGCGCATCATAGACAGCTTTGTATTCGACTGGAGCCTCTTGTGTATTCGACAAAGGATATTACTAATTTCAACAAACTTGTTGGTATAGAGGGAAGGGGGACAGATGAGGACATCGAAAATAGAGTTAAGATCAAACAAGAATGAAATTTGGGAGATTTCGGAAGAGCTAGAAATCGGCATACTTAACCAGTTCAACGAATTTTAGTATATTAAGCTGTGTTAAGTTTGCTTCGTCATATAAGAGTGAGACCAGACTTGTGCTTGCAAGTTTATTGTAACGTGCATTGGTCCAGACAACCTTCATTTGTACTAAATGATACTAGCGGATGTTCAGGCTGAATACACCCCTGTACTTTTTATTTAGCTGATGCATACATTTTCAAGAACTTTCAATACACAAAAAAAAAAGGAATAATTTTTAAAGACAAGCAAAGAAAACAAAAACAACAAAGAGAAAAGAAAAATAAACAAAAAAGAAAATTTTTATAAAATAAACGGCAAAACTTACTTTTATCTCGTATCGCATCCTGTAAATTCCAGTGGCTTGATGTAGCATAAATGTTATTTTTTGTTGTACTATTATGTGAATCAGTTAACCGCATCCTCTGAGAACGATTATTGATTTCTGTAGAAGAAAGTAAAATTGTATATATATATATATATAAAATCTAGAGTTGAAAATGAAAATATATAGAAAAACTTAAGATGATGAAAAGAGAAAACTGTTTATACGCCAAGTTCGTATATACAAAAGAATAATGGGAACATAGAAATTTAAATAAAGACATTAAAATATCGTACAGGGGTTGTGATGAATAAGGGGTCAATCGATAAGTAATACAAAATGAAGTTAAGTATTTTTGTACTTTAAGAGACTTCCAGTTTCTAGTGATCCCTACCGTGAACCACGATTTTGTTGTAGATTTTAAAAATATTTTATTGAAGAAATAGTTGTAGGATGAAGCAAAAGCAATAAATTTGAATGATTTTCATTTTAGTGTTAGGTTGAATCTTGATATGTATTGCTAGTGTAATTCACCGAAGACATTTTAATTTTTGATTTCAGATCTCGGAGCTTTCACAATGTAATGAATAATTCCAAGTCTAACATTATGAGGCTAGAACACGTTATTATTAACTATATTCACGAACTGGTTACTAATTTTGTAAAGCGACAAAAATGTTTTAAATTTCTCTTGCATCGTGGTAATATTTACATCTTTGTACCATAAATATTTTTCTTAAAAAAAGAAAATTGATGCTATTCATGAGAAATCAACCAAAAAGTCCGTCGAATTTAAAGGAATAAGCAAACTATAAATAAATAAATTACACATAATAAATATATTTTCCAATTGAAATTTATAAATAACTTTCCGGAGATGCGATTTGAATGTGTAAGAGTTAAAAAAAATTTATTACTTCCTTAGGAGTGCTTCGATCGTAATGAAAAAATGCATTTTTATATGAATTCGATGTAAAGTAAAAAAAAAAATTTGTATAAAAATAAATATTATTTAGAAGCAGAGAAGGAGGTATGGTGGGGATAGAGGAGTTATGGGAGTTGTGGTCGGGGACGAAAATTCAACGAAAAAATTTAGATTTATGATGTTTTTTAAAAGTAAACAGTTATTTGATTATAATTTTTTTTGTGCTCAAAGCCAGCACAATTTTTCACTGAAAAGCAATATTGAATTTTCATATATAAATAAAAATTATTTTTCTGGTATGCGTCACAAATGACGTGAATAATGTTTGAAAAAAGTAAGGTTGGACCATTAAAGGTTGGAATAGTTTTTCTCTAATAAATACTAAATAATTCAAATATATTTGATTTTCATTTTTAATTTACATATTAAAGTGCTATTAATAAAATAATCTTATTTAATTAGAATAAAAGATGTACTGAAGAATTGAAAAATTTCATTAAAATTTCATTTTATGTCTGTGGATTTATGCCCACAAATTAGAACTAATTGTTTACGTAGATTTTACCGAGGAAAGGAAGGCACAGCAAAACATATTCTGTTTAATTTGCCGAGTTTTGGTTCACAAGCCTGTATCTATGTATAGAAATTCTATTCTTTCAGACTTATGGAACGTGCCAAATCTATTGCTTGGAAGTCTCATCTTTTAGGTTAGCTCTCACAATTCTGTTTTGTTTTTCCTACCTCACCCGCCTACCACGGGAGCTGCCGCGCTAAGTCGAGGCGGAGCAATAGGAAGTACCCGTGGTGGAATGAAGAGCTTTCAAGGCTTAGACCAGAGACCAGAAAGCTATTCAATAAGGTCAAGGCGTCCGGTTCGTGGGAAGAGTATAAAGACTCACTCACAAAATACAATAACGAAATTAGGAAAGCGAAGAAGATCTCGTGGAGGGCGTTCTGCATTGATGAACTCTCCAGCAGTGCGCGTCTTCACAGGGTGCTTTCCAAAAAGTATGCTAGCGGGTTGGGCCTAATGGAACGTCCTGATGGCTCCATGACTGAGAACGGATAGCAGACGTTGGAGCTTATGACATCAACGCACTTTTCTGACTCGAAGATTCTTCGGAATCACTCAAATGCGGTCATTGAATCGAGGGAATCCTGGCCCAGGAGGGATGACTGGCAACGATCCCGTCTAGTCTTCACGATGGGCAGGATTAGATGGGCTGTTTTCTCTTTCAGGCCCTTCAAATTTCCAGGTGATGACGAGATATATCCTGCATTTTTGCAAAGGGGTTTCCAACATATCGCTAGAGCACAGTTGGAAATTTTTCGTGCCAGCTATGCGTGGGGTTACATCCCTCAGGCATGGAGGGTGGCTAAAGTGACGTATATTCCGAAGGTGGGTAAGCGACCAAACAACCACCCAAGGTCTTTCCGTCCAATCAGCCTTACTTCTTTTCTATTGAAAGCAATTGAAAAACTGATTGATAGATTTATACGGGACGATGCACTGGGAAGCAATCCCTTGCATGAATCTCTGTACGCCTATCGGTCGGGAAGGTCTACTGTACTCGCTCTGCAGAGTCTGGTGGGAGTCCTCGAAAACTCATTGGAGCTGCGGGGTGTGGCAGTTGGCTGCTTCCTTGATATAGAGGGAGCTTTTGACAACACCCCATATCATGTAATCTGTGAGTCGATGCACAAACGAGGGATTGATGCGACGACTAGCAGATGGGTTAATCGGATGTTACAGGATAGAATTATTAAGTACTCATAGCTGACGATATACTCTTCATCTCCGCTGCAAAAGGATGTCCGCAGGGCGGGGTTCTTTCGCCCTTCCTGTGGTCCCTTGTAGTGGATGATCTAATCGCTGCTCTCAGGAGCTCCGTGGCGCGTGTCTGGGGATATGCCGCCGATGTAGCTTTCGTCGTGCGAGGAAAATTTGAGAGCACTATTTCTGATCTTCTACAGCAAAATTTACGTGTTGTGGAAAGGTGGTGCAAAGGCGTTGAGTTAAATATAAATCCAAGCAAGAGCACTTTAGTCGCCTTCACCAGACGCAGAAGCAGGGATAGATTAACGAGCCCGATTCTGTTTGGTGAACGTATTAGTTACTCGAGGGAGGTGAAGTATCTGAGGGTAACCCTGGATGATCGTCTCTCTTGGAATACCCATATAGATAGAGTTATCGGGAGGGCTACGGCGGCCTTGTGGACGTGTAGGATCTTCATCGGGGGGACCTGGGGAATTAGTCCCAGAATAGCATTGTTGCTATATACGGCCCTTGCTAGGCCCATCGTCACCTATGCGTCGATTGTATGGTGCCGTAAAGCTCAGCAGACGGGTGTGCGGGCCAAGCTGGAAAAGCTACAGAGGCTGGCCTGCTTGGGAGTGACCGGGGCAATGCGGACTGCTCCCACCGCTGCATTGAAGGTGATGATCGGATTGCCGCCCTCGGCTAGTGACTTATCGACTTCTCTCTGGCGAGGACGGGGCAGGGCTAAAGTTGGCCACAAAACTCACAGAGACTTCATTGAGAGCGATCCGATTCTAAGAATAACCATGTCGGATACCTGTCTGCCACGGTACAACTTCGACCACAAGTACAGGGTTCTGTTTCACGATTGATGGACGTGGGATCGGGGTGGTCTGGTACTTAGGTCGGGTTCGAGCGTGTGGTGTACGGACGGGTCCAAAACGGAGTCGGGTGTGGGTTCGGGCGCCGCCCGGACACACGTGTATATGCAACCCTTGACCCATATTGCACAGTGTTCCAGGCCGAAATACATGCAATAGAGATCTGTCTGAGAATCAATTTGGAAAGGGGGTATAAAAACCGCAACATCTATGTGTTCTCAGACAGCAGGTCTGCGCTGCTGGCGCTTCGTTCAACTCAGGTTACATCCAAGCTGGTCTGGAGCTGCCTTGCTGCACTTATGGAGTTGGCATCGGAGAACAGAGTGATGCTCATTTGGGTGCCGCGCCATAGTGGCCATGCGGGCAACGAAGTTGCCGATGACTTTGCGCAGCCGCTGCTTTTCTGCGGTCTACCTTCTTCCGCCGTGGGGGCCAGGCTTGCCTGCCTGCTCTCGGCGGAATGCGGCCGTCACTGGCGGGACACGAAAGGGTGCCGTCATACGAAAGTGTTTTTTTCGGCGTGCTCCAGCGGATTCACCGCAGAGTTGCTGGGGATGAGCAGGAGCCGGGTTCCCACTATTGCGAATTTCTTCACGGGGCACTGCCCAGTAAAATACCACCTGCATAGGCTGGGGAGTCGGGCTCCCCCCTGTGCAGATTTTGTGGGGGTGGCGATGAGACCGCCGTGCATATTCTCTACGACTGTCCGGCACTGGCTCTTCGGCGCCGCAATTGTCTTGGACATGGGTCACTAAGTGTTCGGGAACTGTTGTCCAACTCCCTTAGGGATAACTCCGGCTTTGGGATTGGGAAGGAGATATTATAGACGGGAGAGTGGGGGGGCTACAATAAGTCAGAGATGGCTGCGGTGGCTTGGGAGGTTACTCCTGTCCCACTCGGTTCCCTTAGAACCTACAATCCACAATCCTACCTCACCCGTAGAAGGAGTATAGGGCTGGTATATGATATCGTAGCAGTTTCATGAGCCATTGGAAAATTTAACTAGCTTGTCGAGTTGTCACGATTTATTCCTCCTTGACACATGTACTTTAACAATAGGCTAGGTTAGCTTGAAGCCGCCCCCGAAGGGTGAGAGGGTAACAATGACCCGTCAAAACCCCTGTTTATGCATCGATATTCCCTCCCCGCGGAAATATTAGATCCTTTGTGCGATGGTAGTTTCAAGAATGGCGTCTTGTGAATACTCTCGTATAATGCCGAGGTTGGTACTATATCTCGCGAGCTCGTTCGCATTACAGGAATCCAATTTTGTCTAAGAACGCAAAACAAGTTGATCTCCAATTGCCGTGTCATCTACTTTTAAAATAAGCTTGATAAAATTTGTTTTGACACTGAAATTACAAATGAAATTTGATTTTAACATTTTTAATCGTGGATCACTTTTAATAAAAACGCTTTTGAACAGAAATAAAGTTGGGTCAAACCAATGGTTTGTATTGTAGCACTTTTCCCTTAAACAAGTGAAAATACTGCTTTTAAAAACAGTCCATGTATATCCACCACACTATTAAAATTATTTTCATTTATAAACGAAACTATTTCTAGGATTGCATATATTTAGGATGAACCATTTATGCAGTCTTTGAAATAAAGCAAAATTTAATATAAACAGGGGTTAACATAATGCTCGATTTTAAGGGTTAATTGTGTGAGTTAAGAAAAATAATTATATTTTTTAATTTCATGGAATTTACTGTTAACTTTTTGCGTTTATAGAAATTTGAAAAAACTTGCGGTTTCAGAAATATAAGGTGTCAAAAATGCATATTTCACAAATTTCAAGAGGCCATAACTTGAGAGGGGGTGGAGATGGAAAAAAATTTTCTTCTAACGAAATGAACTACTTATTAATGTCTAAAAGCTCCTAAAATTTCAAGCTTCTACAGGCTGGGGTCTAGAAGAAAAACGACATGAAAAATTTGGAAAAAAAGGACTTTAGATAACGGTAAATTTGAACGGCCATTTTGTTTTTCTAAAGTTTAACTATAGTATACCGCGGTAGGGGAAGCAAGTCACTGCCCTTCTGCGTTTGCAAAATTTCAAAAATGCTTATGGTTTCGTTGCAACAAATAGTTAAAATAGGCCATTTTTAGTGCTTTGGGGGGGTATAACTTCTAGAGGGGGGGAGATAGGTAAAAATTTTGTTCTACGAAAATAAGTTTCTAGTAAAGATCTATGTACGTATTAAATTTCAGCTTTCTATCTTTAAGAATGTAGAAGTTTTGTAAACAGACACACGGACGGACGGACGGACGGACGGACGGACAGACGGACGGACGGACGGACGGACGGACGGACGGACGGACGGACGGACGGACAGAGTGAAACTAATAAGCACTTTTTTTCAAAAAATTTTTGGAAAAGTGCTAAAAAAGGAAGTAATATTACTAAATTTCCTGCAAAAAAATAAAAAATGAAAATGATTACAAAGTGCAACAACTTAGAGTCCTTAAATTTCATACATAATATTGCTTGTATGCTTAACATTTTAATTAATTTTCCACAAAACTGTTTCGTTTTTTTACAACAAAAGCAAACAAATCGTAATGAAAAACTATAAACAAAAAATAAGGAGTACAAAAAAAATTTAATAATATCCTTGTAATAAATTTTTTTACTCCTTTTTCGAGCAAGAACAAGAAGAAAAAAAACAATCCCTCTTCCCTCTTTTATTGTTTTTTACTTTTTACACATTTTCCATTCATGTATTTTCCATTCCATAACATTTTTTATTTTTAATTTTTCCGGTTTTTGAAAATTTAAAACTTTTCAAACATTTTACGTACATAGACGCATACGTAAATTACATAACTCGTGTGTATATATATACAAAATGTATAGAGCATACAATACCACAGTATATAATATTAGGTTTCATGTAATGAGTTTTTCAATTAAATTAAGCAGAAATTCAAAACTTGGAACTTTAGAAACTTGATACATACATTTATTGGCATTAATTATCAGTTTGTAGAATCCGAATGGCCGATCTATTTGCCGATTCGCACTCCATGCGCGTATCCTCATGTTTGTTATAAGAATTTGTGGGATTTTAATGTAGTATATTCCAGAATAAATGGTTAAACAGGCGGATAGAAAAAGACAGACCCGAGTAGTAATAAGCAGACACAAAAGAGAAGTAATAAGCAAAAGAATGAATAAATATTGTTAACCTAACAATTTCATAAAAAATTGCATATTTCTAGGACAAAAACAATGATAGTACTATACAATATTTTGTACTTATTGAATAATTCTTTAGTATTCGTAACACTTAATAGTGGAAAAAAAATTCTAAATATCCTAGAAACAACATAAGCAAAAATATGAAAAAATACCGTAAAATCGAAATATTCCGAGTATTAAAAGTAATAATCTACTTTTATGTAAGAATACAAAAAAAAAATAAAACAAGACTAGCATAAAAAACATAAAATTTTTCTCTCTCTCTTCCTTTCTCCTTCCATAAATCTATTTTTTTCACTTATACCGATTTTATCACTACCGCACTGTTCGTGCTATTATTATATTACCCTCTTTCTTCCTCTCTATCCTTCCAGCGCTTTTATATTCTCACTGGTTTCTTTAAAACAATCATGTGTTCAAGACATAAAGTAACAAAAATAACAGTTTCACCGTTTACGCAATAACAGTAACTTATTTGCTTTTTTTTAATAATCTTTTTGAAATTGCCAATAATTTATAATTTATATTTACTTTGTTTAAATGTTATTTGGGAAACGCCTCAATATATGCAATTTTTTCTTAAATGAGAATTCACTGTGTGATATTTGAAATTTCATAATTGTTTTCATTTTCTGCAGGGAATTTTACGAATTTTGTTTTTGTGTCTAAATCTCAAGTGTTGTCTCTCTACTATATGAGAAATCATATTTTCAGTGAAATTAGAGCAAGTTTTTCATCAAAGAGGTTTAAGAGTTTAATTTCTGGAATATTCAATTTAAGAAATAGTTTAATAATGATTTTTCAGTAATTAGTAAAAATAATTAAAGGAGAGATGAAGGAATTTTTTTTTCAAAATGTTAACAGTCTCACTATTGTGTCTTGGAACTTATTGAGTGAGTACTATATGGCTCCCACTCTCTTGTTCTATTTTTCGTAAATTCAACTAAAATATCAAATTTCTGTACGATTGTTTAGAGTAAACCGACAGTATAACGATTGGCAACAGTTGATTACTTCAAATATTCAATATTTCAATTAACATTTAACACAACTTCGAGGAAGAATGCAAAATATTAAAGAATTTAGAAATTGCATGTCTAGCGAATGAACAATAATTTTTTAGCAAATTAACAAGAAAAATTTAAATACTAAAGAATAAGCAAAATAAATAATCTTGATTAATTTAGAAAACGCGAACTAAAACTTTATAAAAAAAAAAGGTTGGCATAAAAAAAGAAGGATAAAAGAATTTTATACAACAATAATAAAAGACCAGAAAGGAAGAAAATACAATCTACAACAAGTTTAAAATTCAGAAGCAAAAAAAAAATTGAAATTTAAACATGATTTTTTTTTTAAAGCAATGCTGTCTAATAGCCACTGGAACCCATTATATGAATATAAAATATCGCCTTAAAATATGCAATATAGTAAGAATAACAAAATTTTAACAAATAAAAACTGTAATATATCTGTAGCTGTAATCTGAACCCTTTCTTTAAAAACTATTCACTATCACATATAAGAGAAAAGTTTCCTTTCACAACAACATTTTAAAAAATACGTAATAGGAAAAACAAAACAGGATAATAAACGGTAAAAAATATTATATTCATCGTTCTATATTATTATACTTTTTTTTTTTCAAAATTGTTATATACACATTGTTATAAACAATATTTTAAGGTCATATATTACTTTTTAAAGGTCATAATTATTTATGTCATGTTTATTTATAATGCATTCATGCATTTAAGACCGACGATCTTATAACAAAAGTTTTAAAATATAGAAATTTATACTCATATATAATGTGGGAATACAAAAAGAATAGGAAAAACATAGAATGACTTGCAAAAAGAAAAATATATACGTAGCTACTCGTATATACATTATACTTTCATATTTTGTAGATCGGTTGAAATAATGCGGGGTTAAACACATAACAAATTCATAAAGCAGATCCAATGTGACCATCATTGTTGTGTATTTAATAAAATAATGCAGACATTAACATTTTATATATTATTATTACTTCTATACTGTAAAGCAAACATATCGTGTACAATAGGGGCGGCTGTACGCAACATATATACATGGAAATTTTCATTGTTCAATGTTAACAGTTTTAATGTTTTATTAAGGTCCTTTAAGAAAAACAAAAACAAAAAAATATTTTTTTATGAATTGTGTTATTTTTGTTATGGTGTTTCTCTAGTTTGTTTTTTTTTTCTAAAATACTTTGTATGTAGGCACCCTTACCTTTTCTATTTGGTAATTTTTCCAATATAACTTTTATTTTATCCATTGCAACTGTTGTTGTCGAAGTTGTTGTAGTTGTTGTTTTTTGTGGTATATCTGGAATTTATAAAAGAAAAAAATTGAAAAAACCAAATAATAAATAAAATTTTAAAATTTAGAATAAAAATTCTCTTGATTGAATTTTCTCTCACATTTAAAGAAATTTTTTAGTATTTTTAAGAGAGGCGCGTAAGCAGATTACTGTAGTTACTGCCAATATAAAAAAACCTCTAAAACTTTTGTCATATTGTTGAAGTAGCAAATTATTTAAGAATTCCCATTAAACTTAAAATTTGTGCTTATTTTCATTTCCGGATTAAAATACAATAAATAGAAAGCTACATAATTTTTCGATATTACAGTTTGGAAAGCTTAAACACGGCGAGTAAAATGAAGAGTTTTAAGTGGAATTTAATAATCGATTTCAAGTCATTTGCCTACTCTTTCTTTTATGTTCTGTGGTGCTTTGTATCTGTCTGCCTACTCTACTCTCGATTTCGAAAATAAATATTTAAACTTCATTGTGGTGGAAAAATTGAAAATTTTTATATTCTTTCGAATACTTTAATAAATTTTTCAAAATTTAAAATTGCAAGTAAAATTTGTTCTTATATAATTATGTACGAAAATATTCAACTAACTATCTATGTACAGGCCCGGTTCTGACTTATTCGACGTCTGAGTGCGAGACTAGTGGAAAAGTTAAATCTTTAAATTGAACTTTTAACATTATAGATACAATGTGATCAAAGTTATTTCGACTGTAAAGAAATGTTTGGAAAACACGTACTTTTATGTTTTCAATGGCGTCCCTATTTTCCACTGCCCTTTTCAAATGCTTATTTTGCATATATGGTAGATCCAGCACTGTCTGTATATATACATAGTATATACGTACAATATTATTATTGTTTATGTTCTCTTTCAATATTATTGAACAATATGCAAAATAATATGCAAATTGTCGAACTATACATTTACGAAAAAAAAAAATTAAACAAACAATAATTATTATTATTTGAATTCAATATTCATATTGGATTTATATAATAAAATTTGTTATTTTAATTCCATTATTTTGGTATATAAATTGAAGAAAATTGAGAAAATATTAAATTAAATTTTAAATTTTTAATATTTTAATAATTGCAATAAAGTGTTTTTTTTTTTGCTACATTATTGAATATTATTTAATATTCTTGTAATTCATATATGGAATAACTGGGAATTTAAAATTAATTTTTTTGAAAATAAATTTGAGAAATTTATTGTTAAGGGATCTTGTGTCTATATGGAAGACCTTTGATATTTTTTTTGATATATTTATGAATTACTTATGTTACTGTCCGTTTCTTGCGACTATATCGGAGGAATAAATACTCCTACACTAGATTATAATATGATATTTATGACATTAAGGAATTAAATCAGTAATTAAAGTTTATTTATTAAAAATTTTTTAGATAAATTTAAATTTTATATTTAATATTTTAAGTCATAAATAGCAATTTTTATTCCTAATATTTTAGAAAAGCATTATTTTTTTTGTGAAAAAAGTTGCGATTGATTTCTTTCGCAGCACAGCATAATTGAGTATTAAAAAGGAAAAATGGCTTTTTTTGAATGTTTGATATTAACGGTAAATGCCATGACATCAAAAATTGTGATTATTTTTTTTAATAGATACAATTAACCCTTGTATTCGAGCATTATGTTAACATCTCTTTCAATTATTTTCTTTGTTTCCTCCTAAATGTATGCAATCTTTTGGAAAAATTTTCTTATTTGAATGAAAGTAAATTAATGTAGTAGAATGGTTTTAAAAGCAGTATTTTTGCTTGTTGAAGGGAAAAGGGTCAGTTTACGAACCACTGGTTCGACTTAACTTTATTTTTATTATTATCTAATTATTAATAATAATTATCATTATAATTTTATAAAAATATTATATCATGTTACTATAATTATGTAATTAGGTAGTATTTTTATGCGCCTAATTAAAATTTTATATTGATTATATTAGTTAAAATGTAAATAATACGTGTATTTTCATAAATAAATTAACATAAATGTATTTAATATGCATGAATATACACATACATATTCATATGTAGGTGTTGGTATACATTTGCATATAAACAGAAAATTTATTTAATTATTCTTCTTATATTTTAATTATTAATGAAATAATTATGAATAAATTTAATATAAATTGTTCTGACTACAGACAATTTCAATTGTTTTGATAAAGGTTTAATTCTTTCAATCATTAAAAAAACAAACTGAGTTTAATTTCAGGAATTTCAATTCTCCAATTTTCAACTGACGATAATTATTTGCATGTAAATGCAATCTTCAATGGTATAAGAGCACAGATTTAGAGAGTATTTGAAAATAAAATCTGTTTTGGATGAATGTTTAACTGTTAAGGAAATGAAAGAAGAACTGTTAGAGTCGCTAACTTTTAAGGTTTTCTGAACGCTGCCTTTGGAATTTAAAATTAATATATATGGTTTGGTTTAGAATTAAAAATGTGAATAATTTACTTTGAATATAAAAATCACATATCTGACGATTGTTATTTTTAATTAGTGTATTTTAAGCAAACGGTTCTTCTTTATTACTCCTGATAATAATTGGATTAAAGTATGTGCACAGGAGTAATTTCAATAATATATTTGCTAACTTAAGTTATAAATTTCTTTAATTTTTAAATTAAACCTATTTGCTTGTATCATTTATACCAGAAAAGAATCTCTAAGTTTTAGAGAAGCTTTACATTCCATGTTCTGTTCATAACTTACAATAGTAATAAAATGTGAAAAAAATTTAAATTAGAATGCAAACCTTCTTTAACTAATTTGCATAGATATGAAACAATATTAGTAATTGCATAGAGAATTGCAATTTTCAGAGTTTCTCATTTAATTTTAATGTTTTTTTTTTGAATATAATAATCTTTTTACATACTTAATACTAAAGGGATAGTTGAATCTATTCAAGGATTATAGCATTGTTAAAATAGAAAATATTTTCATGACATTTTCATTTCAAATTAGAACAAAATTTAATCGTATTTAGTTTAAACAATCTTTACTTATAACGTACTATATAGGTAATTTTATTTTATTTTATTTTTTATTTAAATCCAAATTTTAATGAATTCTTACGATATAATTTGATGGCACCATCTGTTTCACCCAATGAATTTTTAGCTAAACATTTATACGTTCCAAAATCACTAAAACGAACATCCTTAATTGTTAATCTCATTGTTACCTTATATATTTTATCGATTAGATCCGGTTGAAAACGTTCACCTGCAAAAATAATAATTTTAAGTACAATCCTTTTTATTATAGAATTCGAAATAAAATTTTTAAATAATACAAAAGGAACACAAGAAAAAAAAAAAAACAAAAAAAAAAAGAAAGAAATATTTAAAATTTACAAAAAAAAAAAAAAAAAAATTCCGAAAAAAAGAAAATTTTATTCACGTGTACTTTTAATATGAAAAAATTGCTTTTAAATCCTTTTATATTATCCTTATATGAATTTTCTTTAAATATTCCCGTACCAACCATAGCATAATAAACCAAAATATTATACGAATATGAGATGCAATTGCAATGGAATATGATTATTTTCACATTCCAGTTATAATGCCAGTTTTTAAAATGAAATTCAGGAGAAATATTGATTCTTGGTGCGGTTAAATTAATGTCCTAGTGCGTGATTTGATGTTACAAAGGAAATCTTATTCTGCTTTTGATAAGGAAACTTTATTAAATAAAAATTCAGGCTCAATTCATGAGTGAATAAGAGTTTTATGTAGTGATTTGAAAATTCTTACTAATTTGTCTTAAACTTTTAAAATAATAATCGCTCTTTACTTGTCACATAACTAATATCGAATTAAAGAAATTCAAGCAGACAAGTGTAAAGAAGTTTAGTTTACGAGTCCAGGACTGTTCGCAATGGAAAATTAAATCAGCCCATATACAAAAGAATGGGCGTTAGACAAGGTTATTCAACGTAGTCTTGGATGAAATAATAAAATAGGACTCAACAGTATCCAAAAGAACAGGGTTAGGAATAAATGGTCAGCTGAAAAGCCTTGAATACGCAAACGATGTCACTCTGTTTGTGAAATTATACAATGACATGCAGGAAAAAATAGATCTTTTAAATAAAGAAGGCGGAGTAGTTAGACTACAAGTTAACGTAGTAAAGACAAAGTCACTTAGAATTAACAGCAAAAATAGTGAGCAGTTCAAGATTAACAGAAATCCAATTGAGGATGTTATAGATTCAGCTAGCTTAGTAGTATACGAGTGGAGGGACTGAAGAGAACATATATAATAAAATTAGATTGGGTAGATTGGCTTTCGGGAGAATTTGAGCAACATGGAGGTCATTACCCCTGGCAAGAGCCCAGAAATAGGATTCTTCAATTCTTGCATCAAAGCAGTTCTTCTATATGGTATAGAAACCTGACACTCAAACCAGGAAAACATCAACAAGGGCCAGGTATTCATCAATAGGCGTTTACGCGTTATATGTAAGATTTTCTGGTTTAGAAGAATTAGTAACTCTGACCGTGGGCACTAGCTAACGAAAAGCCACCAGAAGCAATTACCCGACAAGCCCTAGAATGGAACCCATAAGGAAAATGGATGGTGGGAAAACCGCGAGCAACATGGCGAAGAACAAAAGAAAAAAAGATCAAGGATAGTGGTAAAAAATGGGCATAAGTAAGACTACTAGCAAACAAAAAAGTATGGTAGAGTGGATATGCTCCCAAAGGGAGTAAAAGAAGAATGAAAAAAATGTTTTAGTTTATAATTATTGTAATTGTTGATACCTTTCGAACTTCTCCAATTTCAAATTGATTTCTAACACTTTAATGGCTTTCAATTAAACGCATTTATTTCTAGTGCAGTACCAATTTTCCAATGACAAGTACCTCAAAGTTCCTATGATCAGAATTTCTTCATGCATCGCTCACAAAAAAACAAAAAAAAAACATTGCAGAAGATATTATAAAAATTTGTCCTTTGTAGAGAATACAAATTGAATATATGTACATGTAGTTCTTTTCGCTTTACAACTTTGAGCACATTGGATAATAAGGATTTTATACTAAAAGGACGTTGAAAAAAAAGTAAAAAATAATGGTAAAATTTCGAAGTTTAAAAAAAAAAATAAAAAAAACACAAAAATTAAAATAATTCAGAATTGAAACTTTGTCATTTTTCTATTATCCTTTTACTTTTCGTCCTTTTTTCTATATTATTATCTTCTTATTCGATTAAAATGAATTGCTTTTGAGTTTTCGGTTACCAAAATGAATATTTTATTCTTTTATTTATTTATTTTTTTTTTTTGACAATTTTCCTATTTTAATTTTTACTTAATTTTCATTTTGTTTCATTCACTTTTTTTCGATTTTTAAATAAAATTTATTGTGTACAATAGTAAAGATAAAGGACATTTAAATGTAATGTTAATATAAGAGGTATACTCGTATAATATTGACACGTAATATAAAGGATCAGATCCTTTTATTGTGCTTTAATTTATTTTCACATTTTTTCTTTGCAATACACAAGCGTTTATAACAGAATAAATTTTAATCTCTTGGAAAAAAAGGGTCCCATGGTGTATTTACGCTCATAGATATAAAATTTGGTGTTTTTGTTTTGTTTTTGTTTGTTAATTATTGGTGGACCGAATCGCATGCTATTATCCATTTATATATTATGTCAAAGTGATTGTTTGTGATACAGAATATGAGTTTTTAGTATGTATGAATGAAATAAGTACATGTGTACCTATACTTTACATTTTGTTGTAATTTCAAGGGTAATCTTTGGAATAATTCGGTTGCGTTAGTTGTTGTACTATCAGTATTTGCATAATTAAAAGTAATACTTGCATAGTTTACAAAAACTTATTTATATTATTAATTTGCCGCGACCCAAAAGGTGGATATAATAATGCACCGCGACCCAAGAGGCGGATATATTGCGCCCTCTTTTCACCTATAACGCCTTATGTGCTCCCTTGAGACCTATCAAAACAAAAATCTAGAGACTTCCTTCTGTTGTGGATCAACGTTCCACATTCATCAAGAAGGTTCATCGAGTATCTCCTCTAGTGCCCTTGCCTTTCAGGTACAACCTCTCATGTGACTACCGATTCGGCGATATCTGGTAAGTAGACCCTTGAGTATTTGTACTTGGTCTCCATCCATTTGTATCATTTCGCTATATTGTTCTGCCTTAGTCCATAATGAACTCTCCATAACCACGATCTTGCCTCTTCTACCTCTGTTCTCAGTTCCACATGGATCCCCCGGGGCTAAATTTTACAATCCCCCGTGGCTTATGGTTCCGCTGCCATAAGGGGAACTTCTTACTATAGCTGAATTGCTGAAAATGTTCTGCTATATATCTTTCTATATTTTTGTTTACGAGTGCGTTCTTGACCTTTCTTTAATTTTTCTTTATAATATGACACAACCTTTTTGGATTATTAATTATCAAGTTTTGATAATTTTCCGATTTATTTTCAGGATGGGTTCAAATAATAGCTAACTAGAATCTTATAAATTATTTTAATTAAATTCAATTTGAAAAAACTTACCTGGAACAATAATTGTATCATTTTTCATCCAATAATTTATTGATTTGGGAAATGCTTCCGATTGACATTCTAATATTATTGTTTGTCCGATAGCAGCTCCAACTAATTGATTTGGTATTGTAATCATTGGTGGAACTATATTTGTGCAAAAAATATATATATATATATAAATAAAAATTAGATTAAAAAACCAAAAAAAAAAAATAGTAAAAACAAAATAATATTAATGGATAAAATTAATGCAGACAATGAAGAAAATTGTGTGCGATAAGTATAAGAGAAAAATTGAATAAAACTCCGAAAAACATTAAATAAAACGAAAAGAAAATCTTAATTATAAGGTATCTTTAAATAAAAGTACTTTGAGTTTATTTTGGTTACGGATTAACAGTACATAACAACTGCAATAACTTTTAATTTGTTTGTACAAGTCCCATTTTGTAATAATTTGGAGGAATTGTAGTAGTTTTGGTGTATTTAAAAGAAAATTTATTTAAGCTTTATGAATTGGCCTCAAATTTGTTTTTGGCTTATTACCTTATGTTGCATCAATTTTAGTTAATGATAGAGTATAGATTCTTAAATCTTTATTGTGTTAAAACTCATTGTGACCGGATCTTGTCGCCCAGACTCGAAGGGAAATATTAATTTTTTGTTTTGACAAATTACCCTTAGCAAGATGAATGATTTTTTGGCACAAATGAAATATTACTGGGCTCGTCTATGTCATTTAAAAAATAGGCAAAAACAAAAAGGAATTTATGCAAAATTTTAATGGTATTTATTCACATAAATACCTTATATGTGACATAAGCTTTGTACATATGTATGTATAAATGTATAAATGCAGGCAATTCAAATACATTTTCATTTAATGTGACATAATGTACTTACGTATAAGTAAGTGTATATGTGGATAAATTTATATTTTTTGAATATTTTCATTTATAATTGTAAATGAACGAATGAATTTAAAGAAAGAAAATGTAAAAGGATGAATTGAAAAACAAAAAAATTAAATTTTCTCTTTTTGTTTTTAATTTTTTTGTTTTTTCAATGTTAATTAGGTCACTGTATACAAGAAGAGAAGAAAAAAAAATTGGTATTCTGACGATAAAATTTTATTGCATACAGGTATATTCTACGTACATATATACGAAAATAAATGAAAATACCATATACTTGTGTGTGATAGTGTATGAATGAGTGCAAAAATGAAATTGAGTTCAGTTGAATATTCTATTTAAATAAAATTATAAAAATTTCAGTTAATAAGGTAACTGAACTTCATTTATCGATGCGAACAGCATAAAAGGAATTAAGTGTTTGTGAAAAAATGTTTTTTTTCATCCTTTTATTCGCTCTCTTTTACTTCTCCCTTTTAACTATTTACCTCCATATTTTATCGTCAGAGTTTCGTGCAGTAAGGAGGGAACTGTGATCGTACAAAAATTTGCATGCCAATACAAATAGAAATACATTTTTTCATCAGGCAGAAACATAAATAAATTATTTTAATCCACTTTCGGTCTTTCTGTATTATTTTCGGCCTTTCGACCTTTTTTTCGGGCTTTAGTATCTCGATTTCGGCTTATCCGACTTGGATAAAAATTCATATTTGAGCAAAATATGCATAGCTGTATTAAAAAACCAAGTTTTGAGTGCAATGGATATCTTTTTATAAGAAAAAAACATAAATAAAATATTTCAGCGAAATTTCGGACTTTCTGCCTTATTTTCGGCCTTTCGCTTTTTTGCGGCCTTTAGTATCTCAATTTGGGCTTATCCGACTTGTATAAAAATTTATATTTGAATTAAATGTGTATAGCTGCATTAAAAAACCAAGCTTGGAGTATATAAGATACCTTTTTTCATAAGAGAGAAACGTAAGTAAAATATATCAGCAAAATTTCGGACTTTCGGTCTTTTTTGCGGCCTTTAGTATTTTAATTTGGGCTTATCCGATTTGTATAAAAAATCATATTTGAACTAAATGTGCATAGCTGCATTAAAAAACCAAGTTTCTAGTATATTGCATAAATTTCGGCCTTTATTTCAGTTTCTTATATCTCAATTTTGGCTGATCTGATTTGGATAAAAAATCATATTTGAGCTATTGGATTCATTTTGGTGTAGTTTTTGTGTAATATTTTACATTTTTGTTATATCTGTGAGAAAACTTAATGGATTCGCAAGATTAATTCAAAAATTTGTTAGTAAATATTTGAATGTCATTTTGGAAGTACAAATGACGTTGATCATGTGCTGGCCCCAACAAATTGTTTCTATATTATATTCTGTGTAACATACTCTTGTATTCGTTTTTATTGAGTTTACATTATTTTTGTCTTAATTAACAATGAATCTGTGGTAATTCTTTATACACTCTGATAGAAAAAGCTTGAGCTGGCAAAATTTTTTTGTTTTAATATAATTATTTTCAATTATTATTTTCTCTTTCTTCTCTCATCTTGTTATTGATCTTTGATTTTTTTTTTGTATTATTTATTATTATGCTCTTGAATCCTTTTTATTAAAAAAGAATTTTTTTTTTGTATTTTAAGCGTATTATTTAAATGTGTAGAAGAAAATTGTGTGAATTTTATATTAAAACATAATTAGGAAAGGTTATGGTTTATAACGTACATATGTGAGTGAATTGATAGTAATACTTGTATTAACTGCGTATAATGAAATGGAGAATTTATGTTATTCTGTCAGCTTGTTAATTGGTCTTTAAGATTTATTACGAGTATTTTAATTTTCATAATAATAATGATATGGAATATATGAATAATTAAATTTTTTGCTATATAAAATCGGCAAAAAAGAAATTATTGATAAAAGTGTTAAAACTTTGAGAGTTCGAGATCTCTGAGAGTTTTAGAAAATAAGGGAGGGTTGAAGACTTAACCTATAGGATAACATCTGTGAGTTTACTATCTTAATGATCCAAAAATTTTTTTGATATAGTTTTCGTTTGCTAATTTTTTTATTTAGCGATCGTAACTTCTCCAAAATACGAAACAACCCATTGATGTGTTCTGGAACATTGTTATCGGAATAGTTATCAAATTTGTTTGAATGATATTTAAGGCCTGATCGAACTAAAGTAGCTTGTTTTAATATTGAATTGATTTCAATGGTTTATTCTAACTTGCATGATAGCCTTTTTAAGTTCGATTCAACTTCAGTGTACTTTGTTCCAAGTTGTTCGATTGCAGGTTTTATAATGTTTAATTTAAAAAAATATTGAAGAATAACGTAAAAATTAAATAAAATATTCAAATATTTTTGAAAACATTTCAAACAAAGCACTATAACATGTTCTTTTAAAATTGAAATCGAAATAATAGCCATTTTCTATACCATAGTGTGCAATTAATTACACATGACATCTTCCCATAACATTATGTGCATACAAACTGTTATAAGTTGAAATGTTCTAGTCCTATAAAATTCTCTAATCATTTTGAAAATTCAAAAAAAAATATATAAAAATTTTTTCATATTACTTTTATTTTTGAATTTTTCTATATCTCATTATGTGCCATTGCATTTTACGAGATTTAATTTTATTTTTAGCCCCCATTCTATCAACAAAATTTTTGTTTTTATTAATACAATGTACGATAATTCAATTTTCAGAAAATGTCATTTTCACCATTCATTGAATTTTTAATTTAAAAATAGATAGTAAAAATATACGAAATTGATTTTATATGTTGAACTTCTACATGTTTATAGAAGAAACAATTTTAAATATTTTTCAAAAATTTAAAATATTTTATTATCCCTTTGGCATGTACAAATTTAAATAAAAGTACATTGGACACACCATAAATTTCTGCATGAATATGTTTTTTAAAAAATAAACTCTAAATATAAAATTTAAATTTATTTGGATTAGTAGTAGTAGTAGTAAGAGGACCCGGCTGGTCATCAACGAAAAGCGCATGTACTAGGCCAACAAAAACGTTCTTTGGCGACCCTGAAGTTAACACCCGGCAATGCTCATGTAATACAAATCACAAAAATCATTTACCGGAACCAATTAAATCCTTGGTCGCGCCAAAACCTTTTTTGGCGGACCCTCTTTGTTATCATGTAAAAAGCCCTAGGATGCGCTCCCACTTAAACATTAGAGACGGACAAACACAAAGAACATGTTTCACATCGTCCACTTTATTTTCCCCAATGCCGCTTCAGTACACCCACCTGAGCTCTATCTTATCTCAAAAACGCCTTCGTCCTCTTCTCATCCCTATTTTGCACGTGTCAGCCCCATCCGCAAGACCTTCTCCCTTCTTTTAGTTTCCTCATCTGAATTAAATTCTTTTTAGTTTCAGTATTTGCATTGGCAATTCAATGTTTTTGATAAAAAAATTGTAATAGATATCATTGAAAAAATCTGAATTTCTTTCCAAAAATTTCCAAGAGATCATATACGGAAGTAACAATTTATCAACAATCCTCTTTTCACAATGCATTCTATGGAAATTAAATTTTCTTTCATGAAATGGAGTACTAATAAGTTTTCCTAATTCTAAAATGGACTTTTTTTTCTCTACTTCTTATTTGAAAAACTGATGAGATCATAATAACAGGAGTATAGATAATTGTTTGTAATTTTAAATAAATTCAAATATAAAATCAAATGCCTTACAGGCTTATAATTTCTAGGTTCTTTATTCTTGTTTTGAAACATATTTGATATCTCAGATATTGCCCATAATATTTCTTTTCCTCTTACACCTTATACCATTGATATAATTTCTATGAATAAATGTTAGTATACAAGTGTATTTAGAAATCAAGCATAATGTACAATGATCCCTATATATCTATTTATTAGATATAATTCAAAAGAGATTTATAAAATCATACTGAATAATAAAAAAAAAACAAAAATAAAGAAAAAAATTACAAAGTATTAATCAAACCTTTAATTATACTCACAATGAACTTTCAGCATAACTCTTTTACTAACTGAAGGTGGTATACCATTGCTTGCAATACATAAATATGCTCCCATATTTAATCGACTTACTCTAGAGATATTTAGTGTTGATCCATCATAGCTTATAACTGTAAATGAAAAAATATCATTATTAGGTACTCATCAGATCAAAATTTATGTACATACATAAAATTATATAATAACCATGTGTATGTATGTAGATATAATATATAACGTTCTGTATGCTCTACGTTGATGTTTGTAAAAGTAAAATATTGTGTGGTATAAAATTTCTATCGTTTACAGAGTAATCGTAGTTACTTTTTCTTGTAATTGAAAATTATTTCATTATTTACTGTACAATTAGAATTTGATAGCATTATAAAAAAATATGTGAGTAAGTCTTTAGAAATGTCAATTTAAAAATTATTAAAATTTTCTCGTAATAAATTAAATTCTGGAAAAAATACATATTTTTGGCCCAATTGACCAAATAAATTAACCTTAATACATATAGGTTCTCATTGAATTCAGTTCTGCATAAATTTTATTAAATTAAAAATTGTTTTCGATCTGAACCTGAGACACGTCGTCGATCTTTGAATACGAAAAACGAAAATTGATTAACATACCTACACGGAGTTGAGATATCAAATATGGCATACAAAGTTTCGATTGGCGGTTATTAACAAGGTCTATGTTTATTAAGTCTTGTAAAATTAGTTTTAATTTTATTTTTAGTTTCCAAATACACTATGACTCATATTTAAGCAAAGATAGCTCAAGGCTCAAAGTTAATTGCTCATGCCCAATATGTATCCTTTAAATCCTTAGAATGTTTATTTAATTCTTGTCATTGAAATGGTTTCATCTAAATGTCTACGCTACCGGTGGATTTCCCTGGCATTAACAAAAAGGTTAACAAAAATATTTAAGTAAGCTTAGGATTAAAAGTATAAATAAAGAAAATGAACAAACTTATTAGATAATATATAGTTTGTATTTGTTAAATTAGTCTGAAACCATCAGTAATATAAGAGATGAAAACAAAATTTCGCGAAATTTGATTAATTCTTTTTTTAATATCGCTAAAAATAACCAAATCACAACAAAGATAGTTCTATCTATTTCATAGATACGTATAAAAAATAAGCAATATATGTATACTAAAGAACAATATTGTGCCATAGCTTATTCAGAACATATGTATAGTGGAATGCAATATGAAGAGTATTTCCCATTTAATCAGAATAACTTTCATTATGCGTTGAATGAACGATATTCTTTATGTTGATGCCAATTTAAAATTGAAAGTAAAGCAGCAAAAAAACAAAAAATCAAATCAAAAAAAGAAGACATCAATGACAGCAATTCAGTATCATCAATCAGAAATTTAATATTAGCATCATCAAAACCTAGTATCAATAAAATCAAAAGCAGCAGTTCACTTCATCTACCCATAGAACTCATTTAAAGAACATCGCAGCAACAGTATATACCGACAAAATAACAACAACATTTTGTTGAATGAACACTATGTGCATTCGTTATAAATTTTATGTAAAATGGTTCAACAAAATCTAGAATACTGAAGATAAATTGAACACATAAAATGAAAAATAATATATAGCAGTAATCATAAGCGCAACAAAAGTTGATAGAACACATATATACATTGAATACATCAATGTGTTCATAGAACACATGCTTACATAAATAGGTACCTACTATGTTGGGCTGTTGCCTTTGTACTTCAGTGTACTGTTCTAATAGTAGAAGTGGAAATCGTAATTTTCTAACATGCTTTAGAGATTCGTTTGGTTGTTTATATTGAATCGTCAAAGAACATCAAATGGCAAATTGTAAGGATTAAAATTATTCTTTTTCGCTTGCTCTTTCTTTTGAATATTTCACATTTCACTATTACAATCACATTGGCACATTGCTCGTTTGTATACAACCATATTTAATATATAAAATTTATGTTGCATTTCTGTCTGCTATATATAACAAGAATTCATAAATTGCGTATACGTACGAAGGTACAATGTAATTTTCTGTACATGCATGAATGATATTTACTATAAGTATGAATGTAGAATTTGTAGGGAATAGTGAACACTGCTTAAAATATTATGTTTTGCATACTTTTAGTATAATATATTTTGCTAATAATGATCGTTAAGCCGATTAAGGGAGAGATGTCATGGCTGATCACTTTTGATTTCACTAATATTTCTCCTGGAAAGGTAACCACAAAGCGATAAGGATAAAATAATAAAAATTTGGAAGAGTATTTAATAACGCATAGAAAGCTGCTATCCGGCGTTTGGAATTAGAGACCTACAAGTATTATTTCAGATTTATAACGACGTTTCTCAAAGAAATTAAACAGGACACTGAAGAAGTTTTAACGCACAAAGCGTTTTCTTTTCTACCCTAAATGAGGACACTATGAACGTGGCACAAATGCTATGCCGCCTTGACCTTTTAGACACCACGACAAATATCCAGAACTCTTTATAAAATATTTATATACATAGTATATAAATATTTAATAAACAGTGCCCCGTTAAAATATCAACCGCTGCAATGACATCTCTTCCGTTTAAGCAAACCTCATGCTCTTTCCAGGTCTCTCTCCAGTCTAGTAGCTTTCTTTGACTGTACCTCTAATGATGCTCAACTCCCATAATGGTGGTCGTTCTTCTTATTTCCTTTGACGTTGTTGTGCTTCGGAATTAAGCATATTGTTAAGATTTTCTTTTTATACTTCTTTACAATTCAACAAGTGGATGGGAGTCGATATATTTCAACCTATCAGATTTTGATTGTTTTAATGCTCTTTGTTGTTGGGAAAGCCCCTTATTGAGGAAGTACCTTAATCGGCCGAATGAAAAATATTTCAAAAATAAACTCCTTCCATTAGTCTTGAACAACATTTGTTATATCAGTTGACGATAAAATTGTTCCATGCTACATCATGATATGTATTTATGACCATGACCTATTAATCTCATATATTGTGAATCCAATTTGCAAAATCTATGTGCTTCTTACAATTTTTTTTTATCTATCTAAATTTTTGAATTTTTTTTTTTGCTTTTCTTTCGGGTAGACATTTTTCCCTTTTATATTCAAAATAGTTTGTTTTTATTATTTTATTCAAATAATAAAAATAGTCAGATGTCAACTTAGATTCAAATTTTACGAACACAAAATGTTTTATTGCTGGTTGAACACTTAGATAAGTGTTTGTGAAATAAAATTTTTATTACAGGTTGTGTTACGTGTGTATATGCATAACTAAAGTGTGTTTAATATAATTCTGCACTAATATTCATCCAACACACAAACAATACAACAAGCTAGACAACGGCGTTATGACAGAAAGACTTAAACGAACAAGACCTTTCGATTTAACACATAATACCAATTTCCTTATGGAAGGTATTTAATTCCTATACTGAAAAACTAAGTTAGCGCAGAGGTAATAGTTTGTCTGAAAACAACAATAACAACAGTGACAATTATAACAACAACAACAATACTAAGGACAACATACAACCACTTAGTGCTCAAGGGTCTTTGGAACCAGAGCTTCTCTTGACTGACACAGAGGAGGAACTCCTTCTCACGCCAGTAGAGGAAAAGGCGGCGCCTCCGATGGAGACGGATAATCAGGATCCTCTTGGACCTATTATCCAAAAAACTGAGGAGGACCTGAAAAGGTTGGACATCAGGGGAAAAAAACAATATTTCTCTGGTGCATCCAAGCGGCATGATCATGGGTTAAAGGAAGAAAATCCTCTCAAGGTGTTGGCGGCAGGGCAGGACAAAATAAAAAACCAGTGCCCACCGCGACAACGACGAGCACTTCAGGCCAACCAAAAGAGCCAAAACTCATTGGAAAGTCTGAAGTCGCTCCGAAAATGGCGGCAAGGGAAACGGAAGGATCATCGACCAGCACGTCAAATGCAAGCGTCCCGGGGGAACCAAACGGGCTCAAGCCCATTGGGAAGCCCGGAACTGCTTTGGTATTTGCTGTTGGAGGGGCTAGCGTGGCACCTGGGACGGCAAAAGAGGCTGTGGCAGGGCAGGCGCCCACCAAGATGTGTAAAAAGGCGGAGGTAAGGCTCATGTAAAGCCTTTGTCTAAAGGGCCAAAGCCCATAGACAAGAACCGGAGGAAATAATATGGCGGTGAGGTGCATCCAAATAAATCTACAGCATGCTAGGGCATCTACTGATGTTCTAGCTCGTAGATTTATGAAGGGTCACCTCGATATCGCCCTTATCCAAGAGCCTTGCATAGTGAAGGATCAGGTTAAGGGCCTAACAGGTGAGCTATTGTATGATAATACAACTCGGGGCAGGCCTAGGGCTTGCATTTTGTTTAGTAAAAGGCTAACGTATTTTCCCATTCCAGATTACTGTTCTAAGAATCAGGCAGCTGCGTTGGTGAAGGTGAAATCTTGCGGGGGCTGGACAGAGTTCATTGTGTGCTCATTCTACCTCCCGGGGGACTGTACCCACCCGGACGAGCAACTGAAGGTTCTAGTGGACTTTTGTGGAAGGAGGAACTTCCAACTTATAATAGGAAGCGATGCCAATGCCCACCACACCGTCTGAGGAAGCAGCAATATAAACAAAAGAGGTGAGTGCCTACTTGAATTTATATATAGCAATAAATTAATGATTATGAATGAGGGCAATAGGCCGACATTCATAAATGCAATTAGGGAAGAGGTCCTTGACATCACCCTTTGCACTGAATTTATCGGTAGTAGGGTTGGTGGATGGCATGTCTCAAATGAGACATCCATGTCCGATCATAGGCAGATTAGGTTTGATATCGTGGTCTCCGGGGGCCTGGCAGAAGAAATTTATCGGGTTCCCCAATCCACAGATTGGAGTCAATTCGAAACGCTCCTCATGGATGGGATTGGATCCGTTCCTGCTTCTGTCAGAACGGTGATGGATATCGAACTGGCCAGCGAGGCCCTGATGGCGGCTATTACTAATGCCTATCACGGGAGCTGCCGTGCTAAGCCGAGGCGGAGCAATAGGAAGTGCTCGTGGTGGAAGAGCTTTCAAGGCTTAGACTAAAGACCAGAAAGCTATTTAATAAGGCCAAGGCGTCGGGTTCGTGGGAAGAGTATAAGGACTCACTCACAAAATACAATAAAGAAATTAGGAAAGCGAAAAGAATCTCGTGGAGGGCGTTCTGCAAGGGCATTGATGAACTCCCCAGCAGTGCGCGTCTTCACAGGGTGCTTCCCAAAAAGTATGCTAGCGGGTTGGGCCTAATGGAACGTCCTGATGGCTCCATGACTGAGAACGGAAAGCAGACGTTGGAGCTTATGGCGTCAACGCACTTTCCTGACTCGGAGTTTCTTCAGAATCACTCAAATGCAGTCATCGAACCGAGGGCATCCTGGCCCAGGAGGGATGACTGGCAACGATCCCGTCTAGTCTTCACGATGGGCAGGATTAGATGGGCTGTTTTCTCTTTCAGGCCATTCAAATCTCCAGGTGATGACCTGATATATCCTGCATTTTTGCAGAGGGGTTTCCAACATATCACTAGAGCACTGTTGGAAATTTTTCGTGCCAGCTATGCGTGGGGTTACATCCCTCAGGCATGGAGGGTGGCTAAAGTTACGTATACTCCGAAGGTGGGTAAACGACCAAGCAACCACCCAAGGTCTTTCCGTCCAATCAGCCTTACTTCTTTTCTATTGAAGGTAATGGAAAAAGTGATTGATAAATTTGTACGGGACGGTGCACTGGGAAGTAATCTCTTGCATGAATATCAGTACGCCTATCAGTTGGGAAGGTCTACTGTACTCGCTCTGCAGAGTCTGGTGGGGGTCCTTGAAAACTCACTGGAGTTGCGGGAGGTAAGTCAAGGGAGGCAGTTGGCTGCTTCCTTGATATAGAGGGAGCTTTTGACAACACCCCATATCATGTCATCTGTGAGTCGTTGCACAAACGAGGGATTGATGCGACGACTAGCAGATGGGTTAATCGGATGCTTAAGGATAGGATTATTAAGTCCACCATAGCTGACGATATACTCTTTATCTCCACTGCAAAAGGATGTCCGCAGGGCGGGGTTCTTTCGCCCCTCCTGTGGTCCAGTGTAGTGGATGATCTAATCGCTGCTCTCAGGGGCTCCGGGGCGCGTATCTGGAGATACACCAATGATGTGGCCTTTGTCGTGCGGGGAAAATTTGAGAGCACTATTTCTGATCTTCTACAGCAAAATTTACGTGCTGTGGAAAGCTGGTGCAAAGGCGTTGAGTTAAATATAAATCCAAGCAAGAGCACTTTGGTCGCCTTCACCAGACGCAGAAGCAGGGACAGATTAACGAGCCCAATTCTGTTTGGTGAACGTATTAGTTACTGTAGGGAGCTGAAGTATCTGGGGGTAACCCTGGATGATCGTCTCTCTTGGAATACCCATATCAATAGAGTTATCGGGAGAGCTACGGCGGCCTTGTGGACGTGTAGGAGCTTCATCGGGGGGACCTGGGGAATTAGTCCCAGAATAGCACTGTGACTATATACGGCCCTTGCTAGGCCCATCGTCACCTATGCGTCGATTGTATGGTGCCGTAAGGCTCAGCAGGCGGGTGTGCGGGCCAAGCTGGAAAAGCTACAGAGGCTGGCCTGCTTGGGAGTGACCGGGGCGATGCGGACGGCTCCCACCGCTGCATTGGAGGTGATGATCGGATTGCCGCCACTGCACCTCCATATATTGAAGGAAGCTCGGCTGGTGACTTACCTACTTCTCTCTGGCGAGGACGGCGCAGGGCTAAAGTTGGCCCACAGAGACTTCATTGAGAGCGATCCGATTCTAAGAATAACCATGTCAAATACCTGTTTGCCGCGGTACAACTTCGAGCACAGGTACAAGGTTCTGTTTCCCGATCGATGAGCGTGGGACCGGGGTGGTCCGGTACTTAGGTCGGGTTCGAGCGTGTGGTATGCGGACGGGTCCAAAACGGAGTCCGGTGTGTGACCTTGACCCGTATTGCACAGTGTTCCAGACCGAAATACATGCAATAGAGATCTGTCTGAGAATCAATTTGGAAAGGGGGTATAGAAACCGCACCATCTATGTGTTCTCAGACAGTAAGGCCATAGTGGTCATGCGGGCAACGAAGTTGCCGATGAGTTGGCGCGGAGGGGATCTGGGGCTGCCTTTATGCAGCCGCTGCCTTTCTGCGGCTTGCCTGCCTACTCGCGGCGGAATGCGGCCGTCACTGGCGGGACACGAAAGGGTGCCGCCTTGCGAAAGTGTTTCTTCAGACGTGCTCGCCGCGGAGTTGCTGGGGATGAGCAGGAGCCGGGTTCGCACTATTGCGATTTTCTTCACGGGGTGAAGTACCACCTGCATAGGCTGGTGAAGTCGGGCTTCCCCCTGTGCAGATTTTGTAGGGGTAGCGATGAGACCGCCGTGCACATTCTCTGCGACTGTCCGGCATTGGCTGTTCGGTGTATTAAAGTCATTTTCGGTCTTTTCTGATTTTTACGATTCTCTTAAATTTAACAAATAAATTTATTATCTTTATTTAATTATAAATAATAAATAATAAATAATAATAAATTTATTATTTTTAATTATATTAATTTTTTTTCTTTTTTGCTTCTACATAGAAAATAATTCCAATTTTTTTGCGTTTTCTTAAATCGGAATTTCATTGTGAATTGTAATTCTTGTGAAAACGTTTCCCTTTTGTTAAAAGTTATTCTTTGAAATAAACTGGTTATAAATTTAAATTATTTTTCTTATTGTTCTGTGCGCTTGAATCGTATCAACGAATCCTACTGCATCCCATCAAATTTTTGATCGTTTTTGCATGCTTTTTGCAATTTTTTCTCCTTCTTTTTAAAAATGTGTTCTGTTTCTTTTTATTACAAAAATAATTTATACAAAAATGTAGCACCACATTTTCCAGTTTTTTTATGTTCACTTCTCTTGAATATTTTTGTTATATCCAGAATGTTATAAATTTCAGTTACTAGTTAAGTAAGTTAAAATTTTTAGTTTTTAAATATTTTTATTGGTAACGTTTGTCTTTCTATTCAACAACTTGGAATGCTGTAAATATGTATGCTGAAATGTTGAATATTGTAGAATGCAGTGTAGGCTGATGTGTTTAAAGTGCACGTTACCAACAAAATCGTGAACAAATAAAGAGCGCAGTGAACTGTGAAGGTTATTGTTGAATCCATTTGGTTAATAAAATTCTCTTCTTTTTCGAAATGGTAATAAATAGCTTACCATAAGGCACACAATAAGAGACATGGTTTTGAAATCTATTATTAAAATATTGATGATCTAGAAGGTATATATTACAGTCCAGTTTAAATTGCAAAGTTCTTCCTAAATTCTTTCTTAAAATTTATTTATTATAACTTTTTTTTTAATATATAACAGTTTAATATTAATACTGTTATACTGGTGTACTACATTTCATATTAAATATTTTGGTAAAATTGCATATCTTTAGGGGCTTTAAAAATTTTTTATGTACTTACTTTGGAAATACCAATAACTAAAATATCAATTGCGTTTATTATTTTAACGATAAGAATTCTGTTCTAAATTTATTTAAAATTAAATTTTTTTGTTAGTTTTGTTCCACAATAAAAAATGCAATATAATAGAAAACTTATAAAAGCGAAAAGAGATGTGTGCGCGAAAGAAGTATAGAGAGAAATATAAATTTTCTGTTTTTATAATGCTGCACAAGGATTATATTTCAACTACATGAAAAGGAGTTGTTATTTTGTGTGCACCATAATGCTAACATGTCGTATAAGTAAAATATATATGGCGGTTTTTAAGTGTATGTATACTATATATGCATATTGTGTATAATACGATGTTTATAAAATATTTTTCTTACCATCTAATCCCTTACCATCTTTTGATTCACCATGTAGTGAAATTGGTTCTCCACCTTCACGTCTCCATGTTATTGTTGGCGGTGGTGATCCAGTTGCAGCACAATGTAATGTAACATTACCACCTTCACGTACAACCATATCAGTGCTAGTTGAATCATCTAAGATATCAGGTGGTACTGAAAGAAAAAGTAATATAAAAAATATCGTGAAATAATATAGAAGAAAAGAAATGAAAATTTATAATGTATTTGTGTAATTGTACATGTATAGATTTTTTTGTTTTCTTTTCCTTAAAAAAATAAGAAAGAAACTGTTATAAATGAGCAAATATATTGTAGTATAAGAGTAAAGAAGAAATTTAAATGGTTTCAGGTTGAATATGAGCTGCAAAAAAATGCATAAATTGAGGTGAAATAAAAAAACTACAAGAAAAATGAAAAATATTAGAGCTTGAATGAGTAACCATAGCTATACTCGAAAAATTTCATTTTACACAGTTATAGCTACTATATTTTAACTTAAAATTGTGTGACATTTAATACCTTGAAGCAATTTAAAATAAAAAAAAATATATTGGGAAAAAATTAAACTATTTTTTAGAAAATGAATAAATATTCAGAGAATGCAATGTGTTGAACAATTTTTTTTTCCCTGTTGTATAAATGAATTTCAATAATTTATAATTATTATTGTTAAAAAAAGAATTAATAATGACTTTAATTTACGTGGGATGCTTGTAAACATCTGTGATTTTTCATACTTAAATCTAAAGTGATTTACTATGATTAATATCGAATTTGTTAATTTTGATTTTTGTTTAATTAATGTGATGTTTGAGAGACAAGGTTTAACACTATTTTCAAAAAATTTAAAAGAATCGTCATAGGCAACAACTCATTCAAATTCACTCTAAAGTTAAATCAAAGGTTTTTGTTTGCCTGAAAGGTTTTGTCTTTTAATTATGACCAGAAGGAATTTAAGAATATTATAGGTTTTGGAAAGAATCAGATGAGAATTCTCTGCGAAGGATTAGAAGACCGCAGTGCAGTTTCTGGGGGATTGTGATTTTCTCGCTCGCAGGAGGAGGAAAATAAACGGGGATTTGCTCGCATGGCGGTGTTCCGGGTCTCATAAGATGGTCGTGCTCTTCAGGAGGGTTGCGCTCGAGCGTGTGTTGTAGGGCATCTGCGCACTCAGAGGGTGTGCAATCGATCCTTATTACGGAGTCACGATGCACTGAGATACCTTTATTTTATTTTTTCTATCATATTTCGAAAATTTTCTAAAAAGCCTAAAAAATGGGTCGGAAAAATTAACAGCTTTCATTGCTGGAATTACCCGTAGTTTCAAAAATTTTACAATATTTTCTTTTCCTGTAATATTTTGAGACATATTCCTGCTTCTTCCAATAATCAAAAATAATTTTGTTTTGTTCAAAAGAATATTGGTTCGTAACAAGTTTTGTAATTTTAATGTTTATCCAAAATATGGATGACATTTTACTCTTTTGGTCCTTTGAATTCCTTTAAATATTTTCTTTTTATCTTAAAAATTTTTGAAAAGGAACATCCAAAAATTAAAGAAAAAATAAAAAGAATTCCAAAATAAATTTTTAATATTATTTTTTTTCTTTTTTTCAAACCAGATAATCTGATAAAAAATCCACTAAAGTAATTTCAAGAAATGAATATTGGGTAAAAAGGAAATAAATAAATTTTTTTTTTCCAAAAATCAACATGTCGAAAAATTTCAAATCATTAGGCACATAAACACATATGTACATGCATAAAAAAACGTTCTATATATCAAGGTACGCTTATAAGTTTAAAAGGAAGAAAATAAAGACATTTTTACCTTGACATAAAAGAAAGGCAAATATGTAAATAAGAGTAAAAACAAACGAAATAAATCATATGGAAAAAAAGAAGAAATGGAAGACCAATAAAAAAAATCTTAAATTCGGAGTTTACAGGACTTTTGGTTTTTCGTTCTTTTTGTTTTAAAAATTTATGGAAATAAACCAATAATGCGGTCTGAGATTCAATTTACCTAATAAAATCAACAAAATTCCATAAAATTGAAAATGAGAATTATAAAGCTAAAATACAGATTTTTCTCTCCCTATCCGATTGCATTTCTAATATTTTTTCCCAAGCACAAAAAGTTAACTGAGGGCTACGGTGTGTTTTCTTAAATTGTATTGATGCTTCGTGTAGAATTGCTAACAGCTAATCTTTTTTTTTCTCTCGTACCATTATTCTTGTTTTTTTAAGATTTTTGCTTGAAAAATTTCATGAAATGTTTACAGATATGGCTGCTACCATACCATTTAAAATAGCTTTCAATATAAAAAAGAAAAAAATTAAACATGACGAATTACCAGGATAAAATTAAAATGAAAGAAATTAAAGAAGTTTTTGTTAGCCTGTCAAAATTCAGCTCAAAAGCCTTTGTTTCTAATATGGGTCTCTTGACGAGGCACTTTAGGCCTTGTAAAACAACTAAGATAACTGAGTTTAGGGACAGACGGGTCTTGCAGGTACTGTGATAAAGGAGATGAGGCCTCGTTGCAACATCTTAATAAGTGTGGAGTGTTGATCCATAAGATAAAGGACAGTGGACCATCACTGGTGGGCACGTCGTTGAGGGATATTTTCCTGGAAAGCGAGGGGGAGGGTAGCAATGGATCTTTTAGCTTGCGGTGCTTGATTGTCCTCAGCTACAATCTATAAGTACTAGTATCCTTTGGAGAATTGTAAAAATTTGGAGTTCGGAAAGAAAACGTTATTTACATTCGCCATTTCGAATGATTTGACGGCATCTGGAGATCTTATGGTCATCTTCCTAGTTGTCTTTATACTAAAGGCATTGCTGCATCAGAACAACCAACAGCAGACCCAGATCACCCCTACAGTGTATTAGTAATAACTCTGTTTGCACAGTTAGAGACCCAAACTTCTTTTTTCTTGTTTATTACATTTTTAAAGTTCTTCACTTTACGTTTCTCTTCCACTCTTATTTTATAATAACATCTATCGGTTTTGCCTCGAATAAGAAAGAAATACTGTCAAGTACACTGTTAGCTAATGTTAAGCAGTTACACGCTAGGTCTGAGATGTTTGTTTGAATATTTTGTTTTCCATCCACGTTTCGGAATATTGAATATTAGTGCAAGTGCTTGAGTTGCGAATAAAAATAAAGTTTATTAAAAACTTTTTAATATTATTTACAATATCAATTTCATTTTAATTTCTTAGAAAATTAAGATCATAATAAAAAATATTATAATAAATAAAATTTGCAATTTAATTCCATAGAGTATTTTTAACACCAGAAAAGAAACTACACAAAAATTGTTGTAAACTTTTTAATAAAATAAAATTTCAGGTATTGGTACAAAGTTATTATTTTTAACCATAAAACTTGCAACAAGCAAAAAAACTGTAATTTAAGACCCAAAAAAGAAATTTTTTACATATAAATTTGATTATACTGTCTAGCCAATTGTACACTTAAATGTTATAGAAGTTAATAAAAGTGAAAATCTTAATAGAAAAATTTAAGAAAAGTATAAAAATACTCAAAAATAGTAAAAGAAAACACAAATGGGAGTCAACCGATGTCACCTGCAAAAAAAAACAAAAAACCGATTTAGAACCATTCACATATTATCCTAATAATACAGTTATATTATCCATCAAAAGAAAAAAAAAACAAATATGTAGGTATTACAAGAAAAAAAAAGAAAAAAAAAATTGGATTACAAAGCCTTAATATCTGACCGGGTCAATGTGTCGAACAATAATAAAAACAGACATATTGTTTGTTCCTTGAAATAAAAAAAAATATTTTTTTTTCTAAATTTTTTCATTTCAGCCCGCATTATATTGTTGTATTTAATATACAAAGGTATTTGTACAAATACAAATACATAGAAGTGTTAGAAATTTAAAAAAATATTATTACTCGCTATGATCTTTGGTGGAGTCAAGCACGTGCGTCAAAAAAGGTTTATTCTGGAAATTGAATTGCAGATAAGTAGTTCAAGCAGCTAATTTGCAAATCTGTGATAACAAGCGCTTTAAGTTATTACAATATTAATAATGATTTTTAAGTGCAGACTAACATAGGCCAGCATATTACTAGAGAAAATATATTGACCATTAAAACAAGGCAAGTATGTTTCTCATCAACATCAGAATCCAAAAGCGAACACCAACTAACAGTTATTCTTCAAAAAAGCATGGATGCAGCAGTGTTTGCTAATATTTTATAATTTTGCAATGGCTTATAGACAAGTCCGTATTCACTTGTCAACACTATGAAAATGAACTTATACTTTTTGTAGGAAAAATTGTAGATATCATTCTCCTCCTCTTTAAATTTCACTAAAGCAAAATCGACTCTATGATTCGTAGCAAATAAGTCAGGAACTTCACCTCTAATTTTCAAATTTAATATTACGTATTTACATTTTGCCTGTTCGGCGAGGCCTGTCACAAATTACTTTTCTGTTTTTTATTTGTCGATTTTTGCATAGGATTCTGATTTAAGGATGAAATCCGAAAGGACTTAGAAACCTTTTTCACTGTTTTTTCGTTTTCTATCGTTTGTCTTTTGTACATAAACATTTTTTTTTAAATTTTACATAAGGTCCCGACAGAACACTGATAATTTTTGACCTTTTTTTTTCAAAATTTTGAATTTTTTTCCTTTCACATTTTTTTTTGTAGAGTATTCCTTATTATTATTTCAAATGATGTCGTAACTACTTTGGGACAACCTTTTATCAAAAACGAAAAAAAAGGATAAATTTAAAAATGGAATTTCAGTTTTTTTTTGTCCATCTCGGATTCACTCTTCCTTCGTATTTTTGTATTATCATACCCGATTTTTTTTTGAAGCAAATCCCTTACCAGATTTTCGTGTTTTTTTTTTTCTTTTGAATTGTTAAAGAGAGGGAGAACAGAAAAGGTTCATTTACAAAATTGCTTCTTATTTTGTTACGACAACAAAACGATTTTCTTAGAAGAAATAAAAATCAAATTGATGGCATAACTTTACTTTATATACCCAATATTACAGTTACAAAAAAAAAAAAGAAAAAAAACTGCATATTACCATTGCTGCTTTGTTGACTTACTGTTTCTATGATTTTTTGATTCTTTGAGGACGA